CTTACCAGGGACAACAATATGGATTTAATTTCAAATTTAAATGGAGATATAGTTTGCAAGTCAAGATTAATTTAGATTTAATCGTTTTTGTGAAGTAATCCGAATATGATGTGGAGAAGATTTAAATTCAAGTTCAAATGTTGCATTTTTGAATTTATTGGAGATGATTTAGCAGCACTTAGTTAGTGGTTTGCATGAGATAAGCTTTGAGATTTGAATGTTAAAATACTACAAACGTGGAGGTGTGGTGTAAGTATACTAAGGCCTCGTTTATTTCACCGATTCGAGTTTTTAATTTTAATTTTACTACAGTTAAAAGCTCTTACAAAAAGTCACATCTAACTTTAACAGCAACAGTAAAAAGCTCTCACATAAAATTACATCTCAATTCAATTGAAAATTCGAATCAACGAACTGAACAAGACTTAAAGCATTGGGTTTGGTTTAAAAGTTCAAATGAGATTTGGTATTTTAAATTAAATGGAGGCTTATCTTATCAACGTGTTTAGAGGAAGTCTAAATGAGATAATGAAGCAGATAAAATCGTAGAGATTTTATTTTGAAAAAGAAATTGTGGAAGATTTTCTAGAGATATTTTCTTGTGGAGTTACTTTGAAAAGAGATTATGTGTGATATTCTTTTGAGGGAATCGAGGAGATTTTACTGGTGAATTGCGTAGATATTTTGAGAAGAAGATTTTGTGAAAATAATCTAAGAAAGAATCATGGAGAAAAGAAAAAATCTTTGGGGGATAGATTCTCGAGTAGTTTTAAAAGCCTTATTTTAAGGACTTGTGTTTAGTTCACTTGGTACAGATTTAATAGAGAAAATATCTAGAAAAAAAGTATGTGAGTTTGAGAGTTTTTACAAAGAAATATTCAGAGAGACGTCTGTGTTTTTGAGCCCTTAAGTGTTAATTATTATGCCTTTCGGGAGAGAATCTTTTTACTTTTGGGAGGAAGCTCTGTCGGTCGAAGGAAATTTGCCGGGTGAATAGAAGACGTGTAATGCACGCTAAACAACATCACTGTGGAGATTTATCACAACAACATCATTGTCTAAGAGGGAGTCTTGTGTGAATAAGTCCGTCAGTGTCTGTAATTTTTGAAACATGGTGAACTGTTTATTGTCTGAGCGTGACTCCACAAATGTAAGTGTGCGCACCGAACTGTAATACCGTATTGCGTGTTCTTTTTATTTATGTACTTTATTCTACTCCAAAAATTGAACATAATTAATCTAGATCTTAATTAATTGAGCTGTCCCAGACTATATTACAACAACCATCTAGAACACAGACGTACAGCTGATCTAACAAACACAAAGACCCAGGTTAAATGTTATTGTTGTATTCTCAGTTGTATGTCGTTTTTACTATTATCTCCTATTTAGATAACATTATTGTCTGTTATGTTCGTGTTGTTTTCTTTGTTCTTGTGATTTTTAAACTTCTAACATGTTTATTTTTCAGTTTCATCTCTTGCTTTCTTCTAAATTTGTCAGTTCTAATATTGTTCTCATCTTAGAAGTTCAATGTACCTTTTCATTTTTTTTATTTCTGCTGTCGTTTTATTTTATCTCGTGGTACAGAAGTTGTCGTCCCTAGCTCCATACCAAAATGCCAAATAAGTATCAAAAGCCACTCCCGAAATGACGTGTTTTTAAGAATGTTTTGTACCGTGTTTTTAAGTTTACTAAATTTAGTATCCAAACAAAAAAAAAAAGCTAAAATTAGTTCAAATGTTAAATTAATAGGTGGAAAAAATTAAATATGAATAGTCGTAAAAATGTAATCTCTCAATTTAAAAAAAAAAAAAAATGATTCTATTCACACTCGTTAAGTTTCTATACAACCCCGTAAGAGCAAAAATATTTTTGTTTTTTTATTACAAAACATAAAATAATATATAATAATCGTAAGTGTATATTGAATTCAGTTTGCAGTTAATTGCTTTTATTCTTCCTTTAGGGAGCTCTTTTTTTTTTTTTTTTTTTTTTTTTTTTTTTTTTTTTTTTTTTTTTTTTTTTATATTTTTGTTGATGACATAATTCAGAAAATGGAAAATTGCCTATTCCTCACAGTATTTCTTATATAAAAAGAAAGTTGAGATATCTAGTTAGGATTTTTGTGTGTACAACGCGCGTATAAAATTATTTATTTTTTTAATTATATGTTTATAAGATAAAATAATATTGACATTAATTTATATATGTATGCATATTTTAAATTGTTCAGTGAGGATACGTAACCCCACTAACTGTGACGCCCTTAAGTGGGGATTATGTAATAAAAATGCGGTAACGGTGCACAAATAGAAATAAAATAAAATAAAACTCCTGAAATAAAAACAATGTCTGCCCATGGGACTTTAAAACAAACTATCCGTTAAAACTCATAATTCATCGTTACGTTAAAACTTAGATCCACAGTATAATGTAGCACCAATAAAATATTTAACAGTACGATCATCATCATCAGTTACAATTCTGTCCAAAGTAATCCAATCAAGGTCTTACACAAATTTAAGGAAGGAAACTGAAAATGGTAGATCCTCTACGAGGGGCACGCTGATCGGTGACTACTCCTCGTCCGAAAGGTTGCACTGTACACCCCCTGGAAATGAAAGAGGACAAAGGGGGTGAGCACGGAATGCTCAGTAGGAGAACTATTACTCACTTTTAGTTTTATTTACCTTTCCCAAATTAAACCTGCATGGTTAGTAATTTCTACTTTTTATGCACAATAAATTATGAAAACCTGTGTCAGTGAGATAATCTAGTCCGTACACTCGGGACGATAAACCCCCGAAGGGCGCGGTGACTCAGAGAGACTGATGGTAGGGAACTCTAACTCGATGTCCTTACCAGATCAGTTCTCGAACCACGGGTAAGGGTGAACTGTCGTTCCGGACCCTCACCAGGACGTAACCATTGTACAGTAACCTTGGGGATTCTCAACCCCGGAGAGCGTCATCACCTCTCCCTCTTTTACCTTTTTGGGTTCACACCCAGGGATGGTGAACGGCCACACCTACTGTTAGCACACTATCTCACTATCGTGTCCGGTTTACATTCTCCTAACCATGCTTTTGTGTCAATTTCCAAAATTATGTTAAAATCTCTTGGCCACGCTGTACATTACAGGACGGGCCCCTAATGGTTCTGTTTCAAGTCATATCGTGTAACAGTAATAAATAAGTTTGATATATAATTTTAAATCTTCTCAAATTTAACAAAATAAATTAAATTAAATAAAACTCCATAAAAGTTAAGTAATAGGACCCCTACCTCAAAACGGATCGTCAACCGAAAGTCGAGAAGCTGCGAAACGAAGCTTCACCGGAATCCGGCCACCGGCGGCGGCGGCGGTACGGCGGCGGAGCTTCCCGGAGAAGAATCTCGCGGCGGACTTGAGTCCTACCCCCCCTAAATCGATGGTTCTGAATCCAATGGCGATGTCAATTTTACCAAATTCGGCCTCTAACTACTCGGATCGAGATCCTCAATTCTGGCCGAATTTCAAACCTAGAATCTTTATTTTTCAGCCATGGATCTTCAAAATTGATTGGGGGCTTTCATTACCCGTGAGATTCTGAGCATTTTGACACCAAGATCACGAGGATCCAACGGCTAGATCGCCGGGACCATCCTCCCACTTTTCTCGGCGGCGACGGCGGCTCGTTTTCCGGCAAGGCGGTGGCGGTGACCACGGCTGGTGGCCCAGAACGACTCACCGACTCCCTCTGAAGCTAATGGGCTGGACGGTGTCGTTCACAGCGGCTGGAGGAGGGAGATTCGTGGGCGGCGGCGGCGAGGAATCCGGCCACCACGGGCGACGGTGCTCCGGTCAGAATCAAGCTGTGCTGCTGGTACCATTTTCTTCGTCTCTTCGCTCTGAGTCTATTGGGACCGGAATCACCTCGATCGGACACCGAACGGCGAAGATATCACGATCGGAAGTTTTTGAGATTTTTTGAAACTTTGACCGGCGAGTGTGGCAGCGTCCGGCGGAGTTGGCGGCCGCAAGACACCCATCCGGACTCAGCTCGACGAGAGCTTTCCAACGAGCCGGGAGGTGTCGAAAACGGACGCCGGAATCTTCCCCGGATGTGTACTGCCGTACGCGTGGAAGGAGAGAGAAAGAAGAGAGAGAAAGTGGGTTTTTGTGTTTTGAATTTTTCTGATGAGGTGGAACACGCCCAAGTGGCATTAATACTAGTTTGGACGCACTGAGTGTCCAATTATCCGTTTCTGATCCCCATATTTCTTAAAAATTATATTTTGGCCCAGATTTTTAAAATTTTCACACTTAAGTCTTTTAAAAATTACAAATTAACCCCATTTCAAATTTTAGGTTTTACACTAACTTATATGTAATGGGTATAATACAAAAAATATTTATAAAAGTATATATTTTTAGAGATTATTATCATAGAGTAATAATTTTAGAACATTTATTAATATAGTGGGACAATTATAATCGGTAAAAAAAAAAAAAAACTTTATCAAAGTTACATATGTGAATAAATAAATAAAAAAATAAAAAAAATGTATATAACAAAAAAACTAATTTTGGCATTTTTTTTTTTTAGTTTAGGAACTACATATAGTACAACTTCTCATATTTAATATTTTCAATATATTTAGTTAACAAAGGAATTATTTTTAATTTTTTTACTCTAGGGATTAAATTTAGTATAACTTTTAGTATAAGGCTTATTTATAGAGAGAAGATAATTTAAAGACCTTTTATAAACTAAAGTTAACTATTTTCATTTAAAATTTAACAAAAAACTATTCATGAGACCTTTTTAGAATTCAAAAACTGTTTGTAATATAAAATTGACCGCATGAACTAATTCTAGAGAAAGAAAACAGTTTATTCCTTTTTGTAATTGATCCTTGTCTTTGGTTTTGTCGTTCTCGTTTATAAGGCTTTTTGTCGTTTACAGCTTATTTACACTTCACACCGTTTCAGTTTGACCGCTCTCTCTCCATCGCATCTCCGTCTATAATCGCCATACGTTTGCCGCCACAGTCGCCGGAGCTCAGCCATAGCAGCTACATTTCGTAAAACCCTCGCCAGCCTCAGCGACAATCGTCGTTAGCTCCTGAAGTTGACAGTAAGCTCCTTCTTGGTCTGGCTCTTGGTTCACAGCCATGATGCCCACTGACTGTTTGTGTCATTGCCTGATTCATATAGTAATAGTAAAACAAGGAGTTCTTTTTTTTTTTTTTTTTCGCGAGACAGGTATAATTTGTGCAAATTCAAAGGAGGCTTTTTCTGTCTTCTGGTATTTTGGCATGATCAAGTCTGCTGTTCTTCCTTGCAAGGTATGTTATTTGACGTTTTTAGATGTTTATTTTGGCTTTCTTTTTTTCCTTACATTTTTCTTGCATAACGCTTTTAATTTCTCGGAGCAAAAAATAAAATAAAATTGTACAATTATGAATAAGAATAGGAATATAACTAGAACATGAATAGAATTGGAAAAGATCATCAGGTGGGTTTGGTTTGATGGAATGGGCATAGAATATGAATTAGAATAGGAACAGAATTGGAATGTGAGCCTGGGTTGGGTTTAATTAACTAGTAGAAAAACACGTGATTTGAAACGTGTACGGACTTTGTTACAACTCATTTTGGATTTGTAATGAATTCTTATTTATGATAGTGTATATTTTTTCAAAATAAAAAAGTACATAATGGGGTGGATTTGATTCTAATAAAGGATGTATTGGATCTAAAAAAATAAAATAAAAAATAAAAAACACTCACTACAAGACAAAATAACTTAACTAAATGTTTGAATAGTGAATTACAACGTAGATAGTAAACCACACTCTCTCTTTCATATATACATATATATATATATGTATATTGTATAGATCTATAGATAGATCTAGATGTATAGATTAACTACCCTCCATAAACTAGATACAAAATACCCAATTCTTTTTTTCCCCTTACAGTGTTGAAATCATGTTGTGAAAACAGGCTTCGACATTTCCCCCTGCAAAGTCTGAGGGGCCTAACTTGTTGAAGTGCAAAGGAATAAGGATGGAGCTCACTATAACACGCCCTGATGATTGGCATCTTCACCTTCGTGATGGAGATCTACTCAAAGCTGTTATCCCTCACAGGTAAGTTTATTTTTACCACAAAGAGGAAAGCAAAAAAAAAAAAAAAGGAATGACTTGCATAATTTCCAATTATGTTATTCCTCTTATATCTTATAAATCATGATGACCAATGTCCATAAAGCCCAAAATGTTAAACTAGTTCATTTTGATCTGCTGTCAATTGTTTCCTGCAGCTCAAACCACTTCGGTAGGGGAATTGTGATGCCAAATCTGAAACCACCCGTCACTACAACAGCTGCAGCTGTGGCTTACAGAGAATCCATATTGAAAGCACTGCCTGCCGGTAGCGACTTCACTCCTCTCATGACACTTTATTTGACAGATACCACAAGTCCGAATGAGATCAAGCTTGCTAGTAAGTTCAACAATAATAAAGCCTTATTCTATGCCTATTTTAGAGTATATCATTTTCATTTAGGATTACAAAAATTGTAAACATTTTGTTTTACATTTTGATATTGTAAGCCTTTTCTAAAATGATTCTGTACGACAATGCTGATTGCAACCACAGGAAAAAGTGGGGCTATATTTGGTGTGAAGTTGTACCCTGCTGGTGCAACAACAAATTCTCAAGATGGGGTTACAGATCTTTTCGGGAAATGTCTACCTGTCCTTGAGGAAATGATTGAGCAGAATATGCCTTTACTTGTAATATTACTACCCCACCCTAAGTGACAAGAATTAACAACGTTTCGATTTTTATATATGCAAGAAAACGAACATCAGATGGATCATACATTGTTTGCTTTCTAGGTTAAGTTTTGGCTCCATTTGGGTAAAATATTGTCTCATATTCAAACTTTGTGGGCATGTTCTTTTTAATTTCAGGTTCATGGGGAGGTTACGGATCCTAGCGTTGATGTATTTGATCGTGAAAAAGTTTTCATTGACACTGTTTTACAACCTTTAATCGAGAGGCTTCCGCTGCTGAAAGTTGTGATGGAGCATATAACCACTGCAGATGCCGTTAGATTTGTGGAGTCATGCAAAGAAGGTTTGTTCGATCATTTAAATATGCTTTAAGTGTATTCTCTTTTAATACATAATTAATCTTAGTTTTATCTATTGTTATTTGTAGGCTTTGTGGCAGCAACTGTCACACCACAACATCTCCTACTTAATAGAAATTCTCTCTTCCAAGGAGGATTGCAGCCTCATAATTACTGCCTCCCGGTTCTTAAAAGAGAGATACATAGTAAGTTTAGCATCAATTAATCAAAATAACTTTTAGTTGTTATAATGGAGATATCATTAACTAAGATACTTAATTTTGTCATTAGCAAAAAGATACTAAATTTTGTTAATCTACTTCATGAGAAGCAAGTTATGTCAAGTCATCAACACGGGATGAATTTATCATTTGGACATTTATTTGATATAATCTTTTTTCCCCGGTCATTTGCTAATTATCTTTTCTCATATAGGACAGGCTATTGTGTCTGCTGTTACTAGTGGAAGTAGAAGATTTTTTCTTGGAACTGATAGTGCTCCTCATGAGAAAAGAAACAAAGAATGTTCTTGTGGGTGTGCTGGTATATTCAATGCCCCTGTTGCACTATCCTTATATGCCAAAGTCTTCGAAGAGGTAATAATTTAATTTCTTAAATGTTAGACTTTTCCTCAAGATTGCTGCGAATATATGGACAGTCTCAACTCAGCTTCCTACCTTGTTGTTATCCGTGAGATTCTTTCGAGTTTAACAACGGATTTTGTAATGTAGAGTCAGTCAAGTAAGATATTTGATTTGCCTGTGAAAAAACAAAAAAGTAAAATGTTTGATTCACTGTTCTTATAGTGTATAAGTGGAAAAATTAATCAGTTGATCCAAAATTATGCTAGAAGTTTAAGGACCCAAATGAGACGTCTCGTAGACTTTTCTAGTGAAGTTAACATTCTTGCGATGCTAATAATAGAGTTACAAGCTATTTAGTTTATTTATGATAATTCTCTACTGTGTTTTGTTCGTATTTCTATCTGCTAATAAATAGGTTAGGCCAGTTACTTACTGCAGAGTAGGGGTGGCAATTCGTGTCACGTGTCGTGTTCGTGTCCTGTTTTGATCGTTTTTTTTAAATTTTCAGTCAACCCGAACACGACCCGTGACACGAAATTGACTGGTGAACCCGAAATTGACACGAAAATTGTATACTTTTATTTAGTTTTTTACATATTAGAAATAACTTAAAATTCATATCACACTAAATTACAATAACATCCATTGAAATTAAGCAAATAATAGTATAAGATTTTGAGTATAACTATCATGATATCACAAGTTCATAATAAAATTTAAAATATGAAATGAAAAATATATGTATTTTTTAGTTTTGTACGAGTTTCGTGTCGTGTTCGGGTTAGGCGGGGCCAACCCGAAATTGACCCGTATTTTTCGTGTCAATTTCAGGTCGACCCAATTCTGACCCGAACCTCTTTTTTCTCAACCCTAACCCGTAAAATTCGTGTCGTTTTCGAGTCGTGTCGTCGTGTCGTGACCCATATTGCCGGCCCTACTTCAGAGAGATATGTTCTCTGATCACATTTTTTCTCATCTTAGGCTGGTGCTCTAGACAAGCTAGAGGCATTTACAAGCTTTAACGGTCCGGATTTCTATGGGCTTCCGAGGAATACTTCAAAAATCAAACTGAGAAAGACTCCTTGGAAGGTTCCAGATTCTTACTCATTTTCGTTCGGAGAAATTGTCCCAATGTCCGCCGGTCAAACACTCGAGTGGAAACCATCTTTTGCCTGATTCACCTCTCAACTTAAGAGAATAAGTTATGTCTTCTTTTATCTTCTGTGATTTCTATGTAACAGCTTTTTGCTCTCTTCTATGAATTAACAATACAATATGAAGCAAATAACCATAATTCTCAATTGCCCATTTGTATCACCAAACAATATGCAAAATTAGGCTCCAAATCGGCCATGTCTTTGCTTATGTTTAGTGATAATTTAGATTTATTTATTTTGTAAATCGCCTCGGTGGGTCTTAATTTGGCAGCGCACACCAAGTCCTGCAACTCAATTCCTGGCTAATCAATACGTTAATGGCTAAATGGGCCCTTGAACTAAAAATTAAAATTTAGTTGAATACGAAATATTGTCACCAATGGTGTGGTATAGTGGTAAGGGACAATTGTTCAAGAGGATACGATTATGGTAATAACTGTCATTCTGAACTGATAAAAATATTTATTATTTGCTGCGGTAAAGTGGGATAAAGTCCTGCACTGTTAAATGTTTATCACATTCTGATAAAATACCATACTTGAAATTTTTATGGAAGTATTATATTAAATGCAAAACACACGCACACAATTAAAGTTCCAATCAAGTCAAGATTTTCACAATATCTAGATTATTCACATCGAAAAAGAGGATACACAGAACAATTACGAAAATAATGGCATAGTCTGGTTTAAGACCAAAGTAAGAAACTAATTATTTTGCTGCATGCACACATACATAATTCTCCTCTCTCTTGCCTTTTTGCTAGTCTTCAATTGCTGCGCTGTGAAACCTTTGAATGGTGCCAGCATTGAGGATTCCCAAAATACCCTTGTTGTTGGTGCACCTTGTGGTCTTGAACTGGCTAAAAGAAACCCTGTTTCCTACTAAATAGTCCAAAATTTTCTTGAAAGTCCCTCTTTCCACAATCCTCAACTCTAGAGGACCTATTGAGTTGCTTCTCCTAGAGACCACATACCTATGATCAACAAAAGAGGCGTCCATTTCTGTGCAACAATCCTTCAAAACTCTCTCATCAACTTCTCCTTTGATCTCCCAACAGATTACGCAGTAGTGCCCCGGTTGGTTCGTCACGTCAGCATGGCTTGTGAAGTCGACCAGTTCCGCTTTGGCCCTTCTGACTAGCAACTCAGAGCCCTTCTCCACCACTATCTGAAGGTCTTTCTGTGGTTTTTTTCAACGGCTACACTTAATGGTAGCTTTCTCCTGCATTTGAAGTTCACCTTTGGTGTTCCATTGTGGAAACCAACCACTTCCACTACATTCCCTAGTCTATACCTGAAAAGTCCTACAACATGAATTTTTTTGCAAAATATGAGTAAATGATTATGATACAACATTAATATCCCTTCTTTACCAAAAAGATATTTACTTAATAAGATACAGGAGTGGGAATTCATTGATGTTGTGAAAAGTACTAAAACGAGATAGGCAAAAAATAAATAAATACCGAAAAGCCGAAAGAGAAAGTTTGCGCTATTATAACCCACAAGATAAAATCTTAAAACATGTCAAAGCTTTAGAGTCTCAAATGGTTGAATGCATATACATTCACAGTTTCTAGCAGTACTCATGCAATTATATTTTAAGCCAAGAGCAAAACCAAAATGTGAAGAGTTAAATTATGGAGGGACTACTCCACTCATAAAAGCTTCAAACTGAATTATAAGATTGGTGCGGAAGTACTTGTTGTCAAGAATTAGACACCCTAGCTCTACTGAAAGAGCAATAAAATCACAGAAGACTCATACAAATAAGAACACAAGATTTATAGTGATTCACCTTTGATATGAGAGTTACGCTTATTTTTAGCCATTACAAAATTCACCATGTATGATGATGAAGTTTATAAGAGAAAAATTGCACATCTCTGTCTCATTGTCTCTATAGCAATAATTAGCGTCCACAACTTAACACTTACGTTTTAACTTAATTAAGAAAAATAGTTACTTCATAACTAATAATGACCTAGCAGTGAATGTGGTGAGGACAATTTCATACTCTTGTCCAACCTTGACTTGGGAGAGCGGAACTGGCTCGTCTTCTATGAAGTCATCACTCATGGAAATGAAATTCTGCTCCTTTTTATGAAGGGGTATAAATTCGAAGTAAGAAATAGTGGGAACTATTGCATAAGAGACACGTTCGGAGGAGAACAAGGATCGACAATGAACCCAAGATAACTCTCCGATGATACGTATCCATTGCATAGTGCCTTAGGTGACGTTTATTTGAAGGGTTCTGTCTGGTTTAAGATCATAGTTCTTGATTATGCTACAGTGTTTTTCTTTCATAAAAAATTTGAATTTTAAAAATCGGAATTATGAATCATGATTTTAAACCCATGAATCAAACATCACCTTAGTTTTTCTATTTATGGTTTGCATTGATCCTGTGGTTGCACAACAGACGTACTTGGCATTTGGCCAAATCTCAGGATTTAGGCCACGCCAATCCAGATTGTAATTTTCGAAGCCAAACTCAGCTTAGGGGCGATAATCTCTAAGACAGCCTTCAAAAGATTTGGACAACTTATTGTTGTAGTACTCAAACTGCCCTCTCTGATATCACTGCAGAACTATTTCCAAAGCTCTTCAAAAGCAATAAAAGCTTGCACTATGATAAAGGCATAAGTGGAAATTATGAGTTCTACTCGTTCAGAGAAGAAGAGACCAAGTAGGAGATGACATTATGTTGCTTGTTTGTAGTCAACACTAGAGATGACTTCTTGTGGGCTGCATGCCAATGACTTCCTGTGGCTTGCTTGTTCGTCTTTTCATGCTTAATTTGAAATTCTGGACTGTCAAAGTAGTTGGTTGAGACTGATCCGGCTCTTAATCCACCCTTAGTTTTTTAATAACCTCTCTCTTTCCTAATGTTCTTTTTTTCTTAATTTACGTTTAGTTGTAGTAATTGCCCTAAATACCTTCCTATCAAATCTTCATTGTTAATTAATTTTAAACAATAACACACTTAATTATTTATCATAATCGTTTCTATGCTAGGAAACTTATTACCTAAAACTCATTCTATTCTATGTTTTTCTTATTATAAATTAAAAAAAAAAAGAACACAAAACCTTTTTTTTTTTTTTTTAATTTGGCAGGAACGTGAATTGAAAAAAATAATACGAAACCATGGGAAGCCCCAACAGATAAGCAAAGAATTATGGAGTAGTTAGTCCTTTTTTTTTTTCTTGTTTGCAAAATGATACTGACAGACTTTTTAAAGAAAAATATTGGATAAATTTTTTTAATTTTTGGGAAATAAAGATGCGAATTAATTGATTTTAATATTAATATATATTTTTGTTTAGAATCTGTTGAGAGAAATAACGTTAAACGATTTATTTTTTTATTTAACTAGAGAAAAGATGCTATGCAGCATTTTTTTTTTCTGTCAAACAAAAGACTTTCCACTTCTTTTTTCCAATTAGTTCTGCGACTTCTATCATTTCTTATAAGAAAAGGATTTTTTTCCCCAACGACTGTCGTTTAGTAGTAAAATACTACTTAATACAAATAGATGCCACTCATAGTTTTTTTTTTTTTTTTGGTTCATTCTACCAAATAAAGAAGTTGTTAATGCTTTTTCATGTCCGACCACCTTTAGAAGGTGTTATCAGTTTTCTAAATCAATTTAAATAATTATTCAAGAAGTTTTGGAACTAATAAATTAAGAGATTTGATTAGAGTATTATGACTATTCTAATAATTAAAAAAAAAAGTAAAAGTAAAACACATTATTATTTGGAAAGAGAAAAATCATTAACTAGCGCTGACATAAGTAAATCAGACAAAATGTTAAAAATTTATTGGGTGGGTGTACCACATCACCAAAATAACGTAGTACAGTAAATCAATAAACCTTAGATTGTTGCATAAGCTGCCAGTTTTCTCTCTTTCTTTTTTTCTTTTCTTTTTTTCTTCCTTTTATCTCTTTTTGTTTATTGGTTGTTAAAGGCCGGTTTAATTCACTGATTTGAGTTTTTAATTCGAGTTGAGATGTGACTTTATATGAGAGTTTTTTACTGTAAAAAAAAGTTAGATGTGACTGTTTTTAAAAGTTTTTTACTATAACAAAACTCGAATTGGTAAAATGAACGAGGCTTAAGTGTATTATTGTGATGTTCAACTAATTCGACTTTCTTCAATAAAATTCTTATTACGAATATCTCTTCATTTTTAGGTAGATATTATTAGTACGTAATGTTATTAAATTAGATAATAATTTTATATCAGTATGAACCGAATTCATTCTTTTATATGATTTCAAAATTTTAGTATGCGATTAATATATAAATGTATCTGTAAAGTATGGAAATTGAAAAAAATAAAAATAAAGATTAAAGAGCAAGACAATATAGTAAGAGTCAAGACTAACTTAAAAGACAAGTAGTTTATATGTATTAGATGATGATCAACGTATATATCTATAAGTATCATTAATAATAAAACTTACAAACTAATAGATATTTACATTCTTGATTACAGGTAAAAAGAAAAATTCTGTTCCGTGTGCCTAAACTTATAAAAATTAAGGCATATGGTAAGTTATTTTAATCGACTAATATTGATTTAAGCAAATTATTCTTGGAGAAAACTTCTTTAAAGTTTATAAAAATGGTTATAACAATATTGCATGTGGGTGAAGATCAACGTATATAGACTATAAGTACCATTAAGAAGATAAATTACAAATTAAAAAAGTTAGATTCTTAATTACAAGCCAAAATAGTAGATTCTTAATTAACTTTTGTAAAACATGCAATAACATGCTAATATAATTAGCTTCTTTAATAAAAATATTACAAGTTTTATTCACATTTTTTCTTATGTGTAGTTGCATATATAATTATAACCTAATCAATACGAATTTACAAGTGGAATTGATGACTTGTTGCATCGTATTTTCTATTTTAAAAAATATAAATACATCAAATATTTTCTATTTTTTTATTTTTAAGTGTGTTTTCTGAAAAAGAAAAACAAAAAATTGACAATAGGAATTTATTTGATGATATGTATGGAAAGAAAAACTAAAATTTTCCCCTCAGAATTTTTTATATAATGAAGAAAAATTACAAGAGAAATGCACCACTCTATATTTTTTTATCTCTAATATCAAAAAAATAACGCTC